GGTGGAGGACCGCAGCAGGAGAGCGGTGGAGGACCGTGGGAAAAGCGCCAGAAGAGCGCGCGGCGGAGGACCGCAGGGAGAGCGCGGAGGAAAGGCGGAAGCAAGAGAGCGGTGGAGGAGCGCAGGAAAGGCGCGGTGGGAAAGCACCGCGGAATAGCGCATGGCGGAAGCACAAGTTTGTCTTTCTGTTCTTTGTTAGTTTTTTTTGGTTTTCTTGGAGGATACGGGGGCTTACCTATGGGGGGGGGAGGCGCGAGTTTGTCTTCCCTTTTGTTAGTTTGCGTGTTTGCTTGGGAGAGGGGAGCGGAGGACTTACCTGGGGGGGGGGGTGAAGTCTGTGGTTTCTTGGGCGTTGCCCGTGGTTGATATATTCTCCTATGTTCGCCGTTAGTTAGAAGAGCATGCGATAGTTAGGGGAGCGGGAGAGAGAGCGTGATAGTGAAAAGTTTTTTGTCTTAGCCTTGTGCGATCCTTTTGCGTGCTTAAGCTTGGCGTTTCGTTTCATAGCCCGTCACTCGGCTGGCTTCCGATTGGCCCATTGCCACGATCCCTGTTCGTTCGCCGTTGCCAGAGCCGTTGCGACCGCCGTTCCACCGCTCGTTCAAAACGGTCAAAGATGACAAAGTGCGTAGCTAGGATGCTTTCAGTCATATCATTGTAAATCACCGGTACTCAGGCCAGCACGAGTGAGGGATGTTGGGGAAACATCCGATGCTAGTATTGATGTTTTATTTGTAATGCTTATGAGTTTGTTATTTGTCAAGAGGGGTAGAAGGTTCTGGAGCTTATTGAGCCTATATAGTATGAAGCAAGATGGGGTGGAAAGAAAGAGAATGTACTACACGTGGAGATAAGAGGAAGGGTGGTTGGTTGAACGAAGCGGGGTAAAGCGAAGATAGAAGAAACACAAGGAGACAGTAGAAAGAGGGGTAAGAGTGGGGTTGCTACAATCATGTTTGGGGGCCAGGGGGAGTTCTCCTTGTTTGACAGTGTATATAAAAACATAAGGTCATGCAGAAGGAAGAGAGTGTGGCAGGAACAATTACAGAATACAGATACGAAATACCGATACCAGCGAGAACGAAGCTTCTAGTGTACAACAAGCACAGACCGTCCGATACGAATTACAATAATATCCGCCTCTCGTTGGATATCGTAAAACCACTGTGAAAGTAGTCTTCTGGCTTGTTCGTCGCTTCCCTGGAAAATGGTCCAGTAAGTGGATGGCGGTGTCTGGGTTTCTGTCATGAAGGCTACCGCCCCTAGGATAGCCAGCGGGATGTGGTGCAGGGACCCCAAGATCAATGCGGCGACCCCTTTTTCTTCCTCTCCCAGACTGTCCCAGTTACCGTGGCGTTTCGAAAACAATGCCCTGGCTTCCTCCTCCTCCGCCATCTTCCCGACCTCGATCCTTTCGCAATGCTGCCAGGATACAACCCGGAGCGAGCTTTGTGGTACAAATTTGGAGATTGGACCGCTGTTGCCGATAGAGTCCTCCTCCTCGTTGTCGGCGTTGTCAATAACCAGTATCCAATCACCACTGTCTGGACCTTCAAACCGCCTCCTTATATTTAATAGGAATCCCTCTTGGTCCTTCTCGGCGTTGGCTAGGGGGATTCGAACATGCTGGGCAATGGCTCTGAAACCCTCGCTGAACTTTTGTGCCCCACTCCCGTGCACCCAAAAAATATCACGATCTCTCTTTCTTGCGCGCTGATAAACGTATTCTAGGGCAATCTGAGTTTTTCTGAGTAACTTTGGTGGGGCGCCGGAGTACTGGTAACAATAATGAATATGATACATACCCAGAGCCGCCGAGTCCATGAAGTGCGATCCGGTTGTGGCCTTCACGCGTGGAAAGCCTCTTTATCGACCCAATTGATAGCAACTTTCCTCTGTATAGGATGCAGTGCTGTGGAATTAGCGCGGTGTCAGGAATGAAACAAAGCGTATTGATAGAAAAGTGTGTATTGACTATGCTATATTATCAGGAAGCTCTCGGCTTCATATACTTGTAGGTCGTGCGTGCAACGCACACAAACAGGAAAACAATAAACACCAGTCACACTCAACATACCCTAATGGCATCCATGGCGCTCCAACAACATACGGCACGCAACATACCTGCGGCACTGTAGCCCAATCTATCCCATATGGGATTCCATCCATCACTCCCCCGAATCCCATCATGTCTCTTCTCAGACTCCATCCGTGCAACTTCAGTGCCATACGAAAAAAAAACTTTTATGACAAAGGAAAACACGAAACAGGCTTCGTGGTACAGCACTAATCTGCCATACATAACATCTCTACAAACCTCTTGTGTTTCCCACGTTCCAGACCCTTGGTCAGACCATCCGCCACCATCTCATCCGTCCTCAAATACATGATCTGCACTTCTCTATCCCGTACCAACTCTCGTAGCCAAAAGTATCGTACTCCAATGTGACGTGTAGATGCTTTGAACAGCCCATTGGTTAGACTGGCGATGCATGCTTGGTTATCGTTGTATACCATGATCGGTCCATCAGTCTGCGGTCCTTTGATCTGTATTCTTGTATAGAGCTCAGTTTGTATCTTTGCTATCCAAATACCCTCCTCGACGGCAAGGGCTGTAGCATTAAATTCTGCGTCCGCGGTAGATTTTGCAACAGTCTTTTGGCGTTGAGACTTCCAGTGAACGATGGCTCCATACTTGTCACGTATAACGAATCCCGTGGTCGACCTCATACCATCCACTTCTCCAGCGAAGTCCGTGTCTGCATAAATGGTGATAGGGGCATCCTCATTTTCTCCCCCAGAGCCTCTGTCACCAGACTCCACTCTCCCCAGACATATCCGCAGTCCCAGGGTTTCTTTTAGGTACCGCAGTATCCTCTTGACTGCGGTCCAGTGTATTGCAGATGGATCTGCAGCAAAGCGTCCCACAAGTCCAGTGGTGTATGCAATATCAGGACGTGTAGTAATCGCTGCGTATGTCAGACTCCCAACAGCCTCTTGATAGACTATCTTCTCAGCGGGGTCTCGGCATGCGTCCATTCAGAACCTTGACAGAACCTTCTCCAGGTATGCTCTCTGACTCAAGTAAATAAGCTTCCACCTGCGGTCTCGCTCTACCAACATACTGAGGAAAAACTTCACGTTCCCCAGGTCCTTGATCGTAAAGCGTTTCTGGATCGCGGCTTTCATGGACGTAACTTCCATTTTAGTCCCAATTAGTAGTATGTCGTCAACCCAAGCGATTATCATTGCTCCGGTCTCTGTAGTATAGATCCCAGCCTCATATTTTGATACTTTCATATGCATCTGGGACGTGAAGTACGTACTCAAGGTATTATACCAGTTTCTGCCCGCCTGCTTTAATCGGTAAAGGCTGCGGTTCAATCGTACCATGATGTTGGCTTTGTCCTTCCATTGCGTTTTGTCAGTCCGCAGCATGACTTCCCCGGACCCTGATACACCAAACTCCTTTGGTAGACGTAGATAAAGTTCCTCCTCAATCTTGCTTTCGAGAAATGCAGTAAAGATATCGAGTTGAACGATTTCCTTGTCTTGAACTGCAGCTCGGGATAAAACAGTTCGTATTGCTGCGAATGATATTGTTGGACTATACGTCTCAGAGTAATCAATCCCTTCATGTTGGCGGAACCCATGTGCGACAACCCGTGCCTTAAACCTGGTGACCTTGCCGTCTTCTCCTATCTTCTCTTGGAGTATCATCCTTGACGAGATAGCCCTTACGTCTCTTGCGGCGGTTGCCGGATCAATGATGTCCCACGTCTGGTGACCCTCTAGTGAAGT